TTATTATATTATTATATTATAATTTTCAAAATAAATAAGGAAAACATACTGTCCTTCCTTGTTCACCCGGCGGCCCCGGTTGCCCTGGAAATCCAGTTGAACCTAACATACCAATTGGCCCCGGTGCTCCGGGTGGTCCAGGTGGACCGGGAAATCCCTGATATAATTTTCTTTATCAACTTCGGAATTTATTAAGAAAACAAAAAATTCATTCATTTTATTTTAATTATCGCAACATTTAATAAATAAAAATGATGTGTCGGCTCTCATATTGGCATAATTCAACATTGATTTATTTCATTTGAGTCTGAAGAAATTTATTAATTAAAAAAGATGTACAATTCATCTTAGATTATGATTAATTTCATAAATAATCAAAATTTTGAAAACTAGCTGGAAATTAGCTTATGATATAAATATTTAATAAATGTAAAACAAAGCAAAGACTTACATTGGAACCATTAAATCCAGGTGGTCCTTGCGGACAGATTGTATTGCAGGTGGGTTTAATTTGAAACAGAGCGGCTTCTACGGTTTTCTACGGTCACGTATATATTACACTAGTCAAATCTTGTCAAAAATTGTCAAAGTTTACTGATATGTAAATCTTACCGATAGCTCTTTACACGTTTCTCTCTCGTCTCTCGTTGGATCACAAGTTAAAACCATCCATTGCAAGTCAATCTGAAGATAATACAAATAATATAATAATATATTTATAATCTTAGGACATCGTACATAATGTTTTATGAAATGTACCTTCTTATATTTTTTTCGTATATGTATAATAATATTTCAACTCTTGTTGGAATTTTAACATTTCATATGCATTCTGGATATAAGCCAAGACTCTAATATTAAATTCAGCTTGTCCTACTTGGCGATACAATGTTTCAGACTCGTTCTGTACGAAGCTGTTAATTAAGTAGTGGGTTATTTAATTGTAATGGTCACACGTAATTTTATTTCTAGAAAAGCGCATTCCTCGCAGTGACATTAATAGCGATGCAATTCGTGAATGTTAGATGTACATGCTTATAAGTCTACTTTTAAAGATAATTCGAAATTAGTTCAAAAATTAATTATTAATTAAATTATTAAAAAAATAAAACTGATAAATTAAGTAGTGTAAATGCAAATCTGATACGACATGAAAATTAAGCTTCGCATGCAAATTTGATGAATTATAATGGAGTCTTACCGGCACAGTAATTTTACTATTGTTTATTTTAGCTATCGACAGATCTCCGTCGACTTTAATCGAACCGCGTGGTTTTAAATCTTCCACACCAACGAATTCACAGTCGACGTTAAGGACTAATTTATCCTTGAACACCCCGAAGTTTACCTTGTGCCAACCCCTGTCGAACACCTGTTTTATAAGAAATCATATAGTTTTCTCCAAGTTGTTATCCATCAATGACGTAAGCTGCGATTAATCAAGTCTTAATCTATCCTAGACAGGATAATGATATATAGAAAGAGAAATGAGAAAGACAAATGAGTTCTAAGTAAGTCTTATTACTGAGAGATCTCAGAATTTCGTATTTATTGCATAAATCCTGCTATTTCAAAACATGCTTACAATCCTCATCGATCAAAAGTTCCGAACGCGTCGTAACATTCTCTTATCGCTATACTATCGATCGCATAAGCATGACACTCGTTTTCTATCACATCAGCGATAGAATTTCTAACGTCCGAGACTCTTTAAAGTGACATTTGCGCATGAAGCGACCCGACGTGACTTACATCCGTTATATCTGCTCTGTGTAATAGCATGACGATACAATTCACGCGCCTACTTTTGCGCGCAATACTTGGCACGCAATAGCTTACGTAATGATTTCGGGGTAAAACATTCATGCATAATTATTAATTAGTTTTAATGACGGTCGTCTCTCTCTCTCGACGGGGT